TCCTTTCCTCTAGGAAGCAGTCTGGTTGCATTTCTTCCATGAGAGGTTTATTTGTTTTATTCAGTAGTCCACAGTAAACGAAAACAGCTAAAATCCATTGCTTTGGGGTTAATTCACACTCTTAGTGACCCAATGGGACAGATTAGAAAGGACTAAACAATAGTGTTCTCAAGGCTAAAAATTTTCCCAGAGACTGCTACATCTTTCTCTTGTAGAGCACCTTGTGGGTTCCAATGTCTGAGTTTTCAATTAGTAGTTAATCCATGTACATGTTCTTTTTCTTTTTTAGAAAAACCACGTATGACTTCTTTATTAGCTTAGTTTTTATGTTATATTTCAAACAAATATTTTTTCTTCATGACATGTAATTTTAGATGACTCTCAAATTTTTATCTCTAGTCTTGATCTTTCCTACCTGTTTTAAACGGGGGGATCAACCAATGGCTTCCTAACTTCACTCAATATCTAACTGGCACCAAAAGTTCAGTCATTTTGACTTTTTCTCATTGAGATCAGTAGGGTTCTCCCCTAAAATTTTAGTAATATATGTGGGTTCAAAATTTGGTTCTATCAATAGCTATGAGATTTTAGGTAATTTATTTATGATTATGTGTATAATTGAGTATTTTTCAGCACAAAATGCAATTCTTATTTTAGATGATAAAAAAATAACCATACCTATATCATAGAGTACAGACATATTTGATTTGGAACTGTTGTTGTGAGCCATCCTAATAGCCAACTTCAAATGCTCCTATGCAAAACAGGAGAACACTTCCTTCTTTAAATTATCCTTCTCTTCACCTACTTTAGCACAGTACTTATTCATTATCTATCCATTTTTTTTCCCTGCCCTCCCTCCCTGCCCCCTTATCCATTAAATTGTTATAGCAATGGTCTTATGTAGTATTTGTCCTTTAGTGACTGAGATATTTCACTCAGCATAATGTCTTCCAGACTCTGGCAAGTTGTGTAATGGTCAATTAGATACTATATAGATGGCACTTGACAATATGGAATAGGACAAACAGTACAAAGTAAATTGGGGAAAACATTTAAAAAAGTAAATTGGGAAGTGGAGTCAAGTGGGAAATGTATATGAATGAATGAAAACAAATCGTTATGTAAACTTTTATGAAAATTACAATAAAAAATAAGTTCTGAAAAGCATTTTATATTATACAAAGACATCAAATGATGGGGGGGGGGCGGAAAGAACCTAAGAGGAAATTCTGCTTGATCCTATGCCATCCTCACAATCTCTGTGATGCTTAAAACTGCTGTTGCAGTCACCATACCAATTTGTTTCATTTAGTATCATCCTATGTTTAGCTGATTCTCCGCTTTAACGAGAATGATGTCCTTTCCTATAGACTTGCATTTCCTGATAACATGCTTGAAGTATGTGAGAAAAAGGTCTTGCTTTTATTGTCTCTAAGAAGAACCCTGGCTATATTTTTCCAAGAAAATTGTTTGTTATTTTGTGGGTCCAAGGCATGTCCAATATTCTTTGCCAACACCATTCAAAGACATTAATTATTATTCAGTCTTTCTTATTCATTTCCCAACATTAACACATGTATGAAGTAATTAAAATACCATGGCTTGAGTCAGGCTCACCTTAATTTTTAAAATGACATCTTGGTTTTTAACACTTTACAGAGGTCTTGGACAACGATATGCTAAATGTAACATGTTTTATTTCTTGACTGTGGTTTCCGTAAGTGTTGATTTTGGATTCAAGTAAAATGAAATCCTTGACAAATTCAATCTTCTCTTAAGTCTGGGATTAGAAGAACTCTCATTTTTGTTTCCTATTTAACTAAGCTTGTGGATTTTAATATTTTGGTAATTACTCTAAGCTTGAAATTCTTAATCTATTTATGAAAATAATTCTTATTTCTGACTTATCTTCCTAAAGGGTAATAAGGATCAATTATGTGAAAGTAATTATGTGACTGCTCTAAAATTCTATTCTTAAGTATGTCAGAAACATATAGATACCCTGTTTATATTAGGAAAGAGACTAAAATATGATTATTAATTGAACCTTAAAATGTGGAAGATAAAAACTGTATAAAAGTTCCCAGTATAGTTTCTTTTGAAACTATACTTTCTTTTTCTCTTCCCTTCACATGTCTTTTTCTGTTGTTGTTTTTTTTTTTTTTTACTCACTTCACGTTTTAGCACCTTGGGAAATGGAATTGTTTTGCTTGCATAAAGGAGATTACATTTCCATGTGAAAAATATACTACTTTCAAGAATAGGTACTACTCATGTAGTAGTTTAGCATTAGGGTGAGAGAGTAGTGAAATACTAGGAAGTTTTAAATATAGAGATGTCAAATATAGAGACCAAGGTGCACCTGATCCAGGTCATGGTATTTGTAATTACTTGCTATGCATCAAAGAGCTGGATGACAGAAAAGGAATTGATGCCTTTGAGTTGCAGTGCTCAAGAAGAGTATTAAACATACCAAGGACAGCAAAAACCATATATCTGTCTTTGAGAATGTGAAACCAGGTAGCTCCTTGGAGGCAAGTACTTTGAACTGTCTCACATACTTTGGGCACACGGCCAGGAGTAACCAGTGCTTGGAGAACATCATGCTCAGAAGGGGGGAAGAACAGTGCAGGAGAAGATGGATTGACATACTAACTGGGGTAATGGGGGAGGGTGTGTCTGAGACAGTGACATTAGCTAAGGACAGAGCAGGATCAGGGCTATTGTTTACATGGTAGCTATGAGTCATAATCCACTCGATGGCACATAACAACAACAATGACACAATATATGTTGGAACATTATAGGGTTAATGTTTATATACTAACTGTGAGGTTTATGTGCATTTCTTTATCTTTAGTAAGCTATCTATAACTCTTCCTCGGCCTTTGCCTCTGCCTCTACTGCTACCTCTTTGGCCTCTATATCTGTCTACCTCTCTCTCCATCTATATATGTATATATGTATGTTTGAGACTTCAATGATTTAACCAACATTCACAACCTTTAGGGATTGTGAAGAACCTGAGTAGATAAATCAAATTAATTCCCCTTTCTATTTTGCTTGCATGTGAAAGTTGGCCAACAAATAAGGAAGACCAAAGAAGTGATGGCTTTGAATTGTGATGTTGATGAAGAATATTGAATACATTGTATACTGCCAAAAGAACAACAACAACAATCTGTCTTGGAGTCAGTATTATTGCCTGAGTGCTCCTCAGAGGTGAGAATAGTGAGACCTCCTCTTACATATTTTAGTTATGTTTTCAAGAAGGGTGACAGAAGAAGAATCAATGCTTTTGAGCTGTGCTGCTGAATAAGAGCATTGAACATACCATGGACTTCCAGGGGAACACAAAGGCCTGTCATAGAGAGAGTGAAACCAAGCTGTTCCTTGGAAGTAAGGAATTTTTTATTCTGTCTCACATACTTTGGGCATGTAGCCAGGAGGGACTAATTCTTGGAAAGGTTGAAAGTTAGTGCAGGAAAGGGAGATCCTGCATGAGTTACACAGTAACTGAGGTAATGAGGGTATGTGCGTCAGAGGCAGTGGGATGGGCTCAAGATAGGGCCGGATTCAGAGCTGTTGTGCATAGGGTCGCTAGAAATTGCAGCTGACATGATAGCACATAATAACAACAACAATCAGGAAGGACTAGGAGTCCTAGTGGTGGCCTAGTGCTAAGAAGCTGTGTTGCAACTACAAAGGCATGTGGTTCGAATCCTCCAGTTGCTCCATGGGAGAAAGATGGAAAATCTCCCATGGGATTTGCTGCCTCTGGAAACCTGCTGGAGGATCAGCTATGGGTAGATTCTGACTCTATGACACATAACAACAACACCAGGAAGGTCCAGTCCCTGGAAAAAGATGTTTGCAAAAATAGAGGGTCAGTGAAGAGAGGAAGATGCCAAATAAGATGAACTGACAGAGTGTCTGCATAAATTGGTTTGAGCATAAGAGATTATGAAGATGGTGCTGGATCAGGCAGGGGTTTGTTCTGTTTTTAATAGAGCTGCTGAGGGTGAGAGCTGACTCAGCAGTATGCAGCAACAAATAGCCTTACCTTCCCACAACTTTTATACCAGGGTGCATGCTGCTTGTTAACCACTGTCATAGGTACTCCCACTCAGACCTCTAGGAGTAAATGAAAAACTTGTTCCTTCAGTCCCTAGTCAACTTTTTTCATGTTTTTTTTTCACACTTTTATGTTACCTCTGTGCCTTACACTGGATTCTAAATTCAAATATCTATTCTGTGGACTGTAGGTTAATTTGAAATATGATTGTGGGTATTGGTATTAGAATATTTATACAAGACCTATGCCCGAGATGAAGTGAGGTTTAGAAGAGAGACAAATGAAGTGGGTGAAAAATATGTCACGAGTAATATCACAACAAAACCTGCAAGGTCTGGGAAATCACGCTTCCAGTCTCTCTTTCCCCCCCTCTCTTTGTGATACAAAATACCATCTTTTTTCTTTCCTGCTCAATCCTTGTTATGTGCATCTTACTATGTTTTCACATTTGTTCCATTTTCTTGTTTATAGGTGGGAAATTGTCCCAGGAGATCATGGTGATAGAGATAGTACATGTAGGAGTGCAAACTGCCTTAGGCCACTGTTGTTTTTCTTGTTATGTGTCATCAAAACAAACTCATGGCTGACCATTCTGTGGATTTTCGGAGGCAGTAAATCACATGGAAGAAGACCGTCCATCTTTCTTCCCACAGCAGCTGGTCGATTCAAACTGCCTACCTTTGAGTTGGCACTGTAACTGTTTACCCATTAGACCACTAGAGCTTTCTTAGGTGACTAGAAAGAAAATATTTTTAGTGCTTACATGGTCCTGGAAAGTAACTGAAGGACTATAAAGTTTTGCAAAGTATAAATAGCTTTGAATAATTAATCATGATAATTATAAGGCATTAACACTCTCTTTTTTGTTTCTTCTTGATTTTCTTGTATCTGATAGCTTTGGCACACTCTAAATGATAAATCAATGGATGCAGCCAATCAATCTGTGGTCTCAGAGTTTGTGTTCCTGGGGCTGTCAAATTCCTGGGAGATTCAGCTTGTCCTTTTTGTGTTCTCCTCCATGTTCTACATGGCAAGCATGATGGGCAACTCCCTCATTGTCCTTACAGTGACTTCTGACCATCACTTACACTCCCCTATGTATTTTCTTTTGGCTAATCTTTCTTTTATTGACTTGGGTGTTTCTTCCGTCACATCCCCCAAGATGATTTATGACCTTTTCAGAAAACGCAAAGTCATCTCCTTTGGAGGCTGCATTGCTCAGATCTTCTTCATTCATGTTATTGGTGGTGTGGAGATGGTGTTGCTCATAGCCATGGCCTTTGACAGATATGTAGCCATCTGTAAGCCTCTCTACTATCTTACTATTATGAGTCAAAAAATGTGCATTTTGCTCCTAGTTGCTGCATGGATAATTGGTTTGATTCACTCTGTTGTTCAACTGGTTTTTGTCATAAAATTGCCATTTTGTGGCCCCAATGTATTGGACAGTTTTTACTGTGACCTTCCTCGATTTATCAAACTTGCTTGCACAGATACCTACAGACTAGAGTTTATGGTCACAGCCAACAGTGGGTTTATATCTCTGGGCTCGTTCTTCATACTGATCATCTCCTACACTTTCATCCTGATCACAGTTCGAAAACATTCCTCAGGTGGCTCATCCAAGGCTCTGTCTACTTTATCCACTCACATCATGGTGGTGATTTTGTTCTTTGGTCCTTGTATCTTTGTTTATACCTGGCCTCACCCCACATCTCACCTAGACAAATTTCTTGCCATTTTTGATGCAGTTCTCACTCCTTTTCTGAATCCAGTCATCTACACATTCAGGAACAAAGAGATGAAGACAGCAATAAAGAGAGTATGTAGTCAACTTATTGTTTACAGAAAAATTTCTTAAATGGCAAAACTATTATAAAGTTTCTCTGTGTCTCAGAATAACATTGTTGTTGTTGTTGTTATGTGCCGTCGAGTCGTTTCCGACTCATAGCGACCCTATGCACAACAGCCCTAAACCCTGCTCTATCCTGCGCCAGCTGCACCGCCTCTGATACACCCATCCCGATTACCCCAGTCACCGAATCAATCCATTTATATAATTTGAATAACTGGAATTTCTAAATGCTAACAATGTTTAGGTGTCCCTGATTAAAATAACATGGATCTTTTGAATTCCAACTGAGAAATTTCGTTCCTTACTTAATGTAGACTGAAGTATGTGGTAGAATAAAAAGCATCACCTGGAGAAGATAAATTTCTTGTCTCTCAGGAGACATTCCTTTGTACCACATTGTGATCCAGACATCAAAACTGAGTCTATTCTGTGTCACAGAGATCGTTATATTAGAGATTATGAATTGGCAAAAACAAAATTGACACTAGATGCAAATATGTAATCAAAATGCCAATTTGTTAATCTGTCACAAAATTTGTGAAATGATCTGAACTTCTACGTGTTAGAACACATGTTTTCACTGTAGAAAACTCTCTGAAGACAAGTTATGATGAGAACATTGAATATGAAATCATAACAGAGGAGTTAGGTGTAATTGTTTAAATATTTAATGATATCTGGTCTTATTCTTCAATTTTTTTCAAATTCTGGTGGACTCTCCAGTGTTTTGTTGTTGTTGTTTTGTACCATTGAGTTGGATCTGACTGGCACAGGAGGAGATTGCCCTTCTTCCAGTGGAGCATACGGTGGATTTAAACCATTTGTCTTTGGGACTGCAGTGCAGCTTCTTGCCACTAGGCCACCAGAGAACTGCAGTCTGTATTTAGAGGAGGCTGAGGTATTAGGGATATTATAGCTAATGTCAGATGGATCTTGGCTGAAAGCAGAGAGTACCAGAGGAATGTCTACCTGTGTTTCATCAACTAGGCAAAGGCATTGATTCTTTAGATCACAACAAACTGTGGCTGACTCTGAGAAGAATGGGAGTCCCAGAATGCTTGATTGTGTTTGCAAAGCCTGCACTTGGACCTAGAGGCAGTCATCAGAACAGAGCAAGAAAACGCAGCAAGATTCAAAATTGGGAAAGGTATACTCCAAGGATGTATCCTATCTCCATATCTTTTTAATCTATATGTGGAAAGATTATTTGGGAGAGGAGAAATGTGGTATCAGGATTGGAGGTAGACTCATCAACAATCTGCATTATGCAGATGACATAATACTGCTTTTTGAAACTAAGGAGGACCTGAAGCACTTGTTGCAGAAGGTCAAAGACTGCAGCCTTCAATATGGATTGAAGCTCAACATCAAGAAAACAAAGATTCTCACCAATGGGATGATTGGTAGCATCATTATAGATGGTGAAGATATTGAGATTGTTGAAGCTTCAGTTTGCTTGGCTCTACAATCAACACTCTTGGTACCAGCACCCAGGAAATCAAGAGATAAATTGGGAAAGTCTGCTGTCTGAAGAGCAACGATGTCAGTCTGGAGACTAAAGTGCTCCTGATATAGGCCATGGTTTTTGCAATTATTTGCTATGCATTGGAAAGCTGGATAATGACTAGTGATGCTAGAAGGAGGATTAATACCTTTAAACTGTGGGGCTGGAGAAGGGCATTGAATATACCATGGACTGCTAAAAAAACAAATAGGTTTGTCCTGTAGAGGGTGAAGCCAGGCTACTCCTTGGAGGCAAGGATTCTGAAGCTTCGTCTGCCATACTGTGGACATGTTGTAAGGTGGGATCAGTCCTTGGAGAGGGACGTTGTGCTTGGGAGGTTGGAGGGACAGCACAGGAGAGGAAGACTCTCGATGTGGTGGATTAATTCAGTAACTTGGGTAATAAGGATAGATGTATCAAAGACAATAAGATTGACAAGAGATAGAGCAGGGTTTAGGGATGTTGTACATAGGTTTGCTATGATTCTCAAGCAGCTTGACGGTATACAACAACAACAACAACAACAACAACAACAACAACTACAACAGCTTTATTGGCTCAATGCTTGAATTTCCACACGAGTATATACCTGCCATTTTGACAGGAAAAATAAGATCCTTACGCCAGGCCCCTGTCTTGGATGATGCTAGTTTGTCATCACAAAATGTTCCTATGCTTCTCTTTTTTTGTTGTGATACAGTCCTGGAGCCTCACTGGTTTAAGGTCCAAACTACTAATCAAGAAGTTAGGGGTTAAAACCCACCAGCTGCTCCATGGGAAAGACAAGGCAATCAGTTTTGGAAAAAAATGACAGTCTTTGAAACTCTAGCGAGTAGTTCTACTCTGTCCTGTAGGGTTTCTGGGAGTCAGAATTCACTTGATGGCAGTGGGATCTTCTCTGTCACATACAATCTTAAAGACACATGCTCTATTTACAGATGGTACTCGGGATCTTTTTCAGATGTTTGGACTTGAAAATATACAGCAAATTTAACCCTTTTTAAAGCTGTGAAGTATATAAAAACAGTTGGCAATCACACTTCTTGTCCTCAAGAATTTATGAGAGGTTAATTTTAAAAGATACAAAGACAAAAAGATGAGTTTAAAGACAGAAGTTTGGTACCTTTCAAGCTGTTGGTCCCAATTATCTTGGACGTTCATCTTGATTCTTACCCTACATAAATTTTAGTTACTAAGATAAATGACCCAATAAACAAATGATCTTTTTTTATTAAAGTTGTTGATCTTTCACTTAAAACCAAAAAGTTGTTGATAAGCACACATCAAATGAAAATGACTGTATGTTACATCACATCTGATGTAAATCGCCTTTAATTGTTCTCTGATCTCATCATAAAAATATGCTAACTTAAATAAAATAATGCATTTCATTACAGAAAAAATTTGAAAATAAAAATCACCTAAAATTCATAAAGATTATTCTTATTAATAATTTATGGATAATCTCCTCCTGTGTGATTAACTGCCTCTAAAAACCTACTAGAGGGTCAGCTATGGATCATTCCAACTCAGTGGCACAAAACAACAACAGAAACAACAAAAACAGCATTCCATATACATATTGAATAACTTTTGTTAGGGGAGCTCTAGTGGCCTAATGAATAAAGAATTTAGTTGTCAACCTAAAGGCAAATGAATCTGTGAGCTTCTTCATGGAAGAAAGATAGGCAGTATCCTCCTTTGTGATTAACTGCCTCTGAAAACCCACTGCAGGGTCAGCTATGAGTTGATTCTAATTTGATGGCAATGAGTGAGTATGAATGACTGTGCTACTATGTTATGTATGTATATGCGCACTTTGTATTTCTATTCATTATATACACACAAACTTGGAAGGAGGAGTGGCATCCACTTCCATAATAGCTTGCCTCTGGAAACTCTATAAACCTGGAGAGAGGATGAAAGGCACCCAAGTGTCGAGGACTCTCCTTCATAGGGTCACTATAAGTCACCTGCAACTCGATGGCACATAACAACAACAACAACAACATATACACACACACTTATATACATAGACACAAACAAAATTTGGATGTTATAGACATTACATTTTTTTATTAACTTTATATTCTTAGAACTCTCATATTCTACTACAATGTAATTTTAAATAAATGCATAAAGACATTAAATGACTATGATAATTGTTTTTTGTTTATTTTTAAAAGACATTTAAATTGTCTTCAATTTTTAAAACTTTCTTAACTATCTTTGCATATTTCCCTTTGTAGGAATTTCAGATCACTTATTTTATGGATTAATATATTGGAATGGAAAAAATAAGCACCAACTTATTTATGGGAGCTCTAGTAATGTGCTTCATAGAGAGTCAGGCTGCTAATCCAGAGATGACACTTCTCTGGCAGTTCAAATCCACCAGTAGCTCCATAGGAGAAATATTGGGATATAAGTAGATTATGTGTTGTCAAGTACTACTCATAGCGACCCTATGAACAATAGATCTGAACCCTGCTCTGTACTGTGCCATCTTTACACTTCCTGATACACAAAAGCTCATTGTGGCAGTCACCATGTCAATCCACCTGGTCGAGGGCCTTCTGCTCCTTTGCCAACCCTCCAACATTTCCAACATCATGTCCTTCCCCAAGGAAAGCACCTCCTAGCAACATGCCCAAAGTATGTGAGAAGAAGCCTCATCATTCTTGTCTTCAAAGAGCACTCTGGCTTCATCCTCTCCAAGACATGTCTGTTTGTTCTCTTGGCTGTTCACAGGATGTTCAGGGCTCATCTCCAACACCACAGTTCAAAGGTATCAATTTTTTTACTGTCATCCTTATTCACTGTCTAGCTCTCAGATTAATAGTGAGTAATCAGAAAGACCATGGCCTAAATCAGATGCATGTTTGTCCTCAAAATGACATCATTACTCTTCAATAATTTGGAGAGGTCCCTAACTGCAGA